TTATGCTAGCCCTGAGTAATGATTTCTGAGGACTTCTATGGTGGGAATCACTTAAATAATGGAGGAATACCTAGCTAGATAAAACTATCATAAAACCATCCATGCCTAGGACCTTTCCAGAGGGATGAGTTTTCTACTTCGTGGACTGCTTTCAACTTCTGTCAGTTTTTGTTATATCTGACATAAATGGCAATCTAACAACTGCAGAATTATCATACATAGTGCCAGATGCTTAGTCACCAGGCATTAAATGCCACCGGAAACCCCACTGCTATCATACATTGTGATGGACCAATAAGTCTCCCGGACAATTCATCCTGGGGGATGGCAGCAACTCTAACCCCCCAAATTTATTTCTATAAACTATTATTAATTTTTCAAATCTCCAAATTTATGCTTTATATGTGTGCTTTATGTTGTTACTATATGTTATGTTTTTTCCTCTTTTCTTGATCAGAATTATCAGAGATCTTTAAAAAACAAGCAAGTTTTCATTGTAATGGTCAAATCTACTTTTTTTTTTACTTCATTATTTCTGCTTTTATATTTTTTCTTTACTAACTGAGGTATAACATGCATACTATAAAGTATGTGAAATATACTATCTGCTTTTATCTTTATTAATTCCTCTCAGCTACTTTCTCTTGGTTAGGTTTTAGTCTATTTATTTATTTATTTATGTTGGGCATGGGGCCCAACACGGGGCTTGATCTCCCAAACCTGAGATCAAGACCTGAGCGGAGATCAAGAGTTGGACACTTAATCGACTGAGCCACTCAGGTGCCCCAGTCTTTGTTTTATAACAAATAAATTTAAAGATATAAACTTCCCCGAGTATCACTTTGGTCAAATATTATCGGTATTTATATGAAGCGTTTCCACTACCATTAATTAACTTCTAAGTAGAAAATTAGGAGGGAAAAAGATAGGCACTCTTGGACCATCTAACATTAATGACCAAGATGCTCAGTTTCACTAGATCAGGCAAAGGCTAATTACAAAAGACACTTCTTTGGCTTATCATGGTGAAAAACATTAAAGAGTGCTAATATCGCACGTTGGTGAAGGAAAGGGAAAGCGTGTGCTCATTAACCATCAAGGGAGGGGCACTTCAGCTTTACCAGTTAAATCTAGACATGTACCTACACTCAGACTGGTTTATTCTACTTTCTATCTAAGTCTTTTAAGAAATACTCTTGTAAGCATGTAAGAAAATGTATAGAGCATGTCCACAACAGCTTCACTTATAATAAATACTGGAGGCAATGTAAATATCCATCCACTAGACAATGGAAAAATGAGTCATGGGATAGTTAACAACCATTCAAAAACAGTAAGGTAGATCTTTTAAGAACGTAAAACAAAATTGTACCCATGATCTATAGACAAGGTAAGTTAAAAAAACAAGTGTGCAAAACCATTTGTGAAATATGATCCCATTTTAGATTGTTAAAAACAAACAAAATGGTCTCCCATAGTCACTTTTTAAAAAATAAAGACCGCAAACAACCTGAAGCGGATACTACACTTAGAACTATGTCACTTCCAGCAACTGTGAGTAGCGGAGAGGTGAGAAGATTTGACCATTTTACTTGTATTCACTTCTGTATTGTTTAAATTTTTTTCCTGGGAGCTAATACAAATCTACTTTAAAATGTAATCTAAATAATCTCCCATCCCACCCCTCCTGCGGTAGGTTTGCAAATTACAGTAAGGAGAGCCGAAAGCTGTGGTAGTCTCATTAACACCGCCTTTTCAGAACTGATGAATTAATCCATAAAAGCTGCCTTGGATAATGACATTAGTGAAAAAACAGAAAAGACTGACTGTGTACTAATCCGTAATATCATCTGCTGACTTGTCTCACATTTACCAACTCTAGCCGGCATTCCTTCCAGGCTCACGAGAAACTGACAGAGCCCATTTTCATCTTTAACGTCTCAGCTCCTTTGTCTGAAAGCTCTCTGAGCATCCAAGCAGCTTGCCTGGAGGCACGCACATCCCACATGCTGTGGTCCACTCAGATCTGCTTCCCGTACCACCTACTCGTAACAGTTAGCCCAGTATTGCCAAGCTGGAAGGAACCAAAGCAAAGCAAGAGGAGATACAAGGCCTTAAGTAATCTGGGGCAGTTTACTCCTTAACCTGGAGATCTCTTGACTTGAGGATAGAAAATTCCTGCATCTGGGGGTGCCTGGATGGCTCAGTGGGTTAAGCCTCTGCCTTCGGCTCAGGTCATGATCTCAGGGTCCTGGGATGGAGCCCCGCATCGGGCTCTCTGTTCAGCAGGGAGCCTGCTTCCCCCTCTCTCTCTGCCTACCTCTCTGCCTACTTGTGATCGGTCTGTCAAATAAATAAATAAAAATCTTAAAAAAAAAAAAAAAGAAAGAAAATTCCTGCATTTGGCAGCCAAGGAGACCAGACCCATTTATGAAGTTTGACTTTCACTTTTTCTTCCTTCCAAAGGAAGCCAGTTATCCCATAGTGAGTGGGTCCAGATCAAGCCTTCGAAAGAGAGAGAGAATTATAATCTCCTTCCTCCTTGATGCTAAAAATTCTTTCCTAAGAACCACTTTCAAAAAGAGCATTAAATACTTGCTCTTTAAGGGTTAATTTCAGTATGATTTATTATTAAACAACTAGAGAACTCATTCTCTACTCTCCACTCTCTCTAAATATTTGAATTAAAAATCTAGCAACATGATTAGAAGACTCAATACAGTTAAGAAAGCTCTCCTAAATTGCTATATAGATTCAACACAATTCCAATAAAAATCCAGCAGGACTTTTTGTAGAAATCAACTGACTCATTCTAAATTTTTATATGGAAAGAATATCTAAAACAATTCTGAAAAAGAATAATAGAGTGACATAGGCAAGAAAAGGATGGTCCTTGACAAATCGTGCTGAAACGACTGGATATCCACACGCAAAAAAGTGAATCTCTATCTACACCTCACACATATTCAAAAATTACCTCAAAATGGGTCATACACCTAAATGGATACCTAAACCTACAAAATTTCTAGAAGAAAATATAGGAACAAATACTTGTGAACTTATCCATAAAAGAAAAGAAAAGATACACTGTCATCAAAATTAAGAACCTCTGCTCTCCACAAGGCATAAGGGAATAAAGAGACAAATTACAGCCTAGGAGAAAATTACGTATCTGATAAAGAGTGTCCAAAACATACAAAGAACTCTCACAACTCAATAATAAGACCATAAACAACCTAATTTTTTTAAATGAGGAGAAGAGTTGAACAGACACTTCATTAGCTATACGGATGGCAAATAATCATACCAACAGATGTTCACATCATGAATCATCATGGGAATACAAATTAAATCCACAATGAAATATCACTATACACCTAATAGAAGGACTACAATTTTAAAAACCCGACAATATCCAGGGGAGGATACACAGCAACTGTGACTCTGATGGAAGAGCAGAATGGCATAACCACTCCAGAAAATGGTGTGGCAGTTTCTTACCTAGGACCCAGCAATCCCATTCCTAGCGTTTTCTCAAGAGAAATGAAACCGATGTTTACACAAAAACCTACAAATGTTTATAGTTTTATTTGTAACTGCCAAGAACTATAAGTGACCCAAGTACCCCTTGACTAGAGAATGGGTACCTGTGGTACACCCCAACAATGGAATACTACTTGGAAATGCAAAGTAACAAATCCCCAATACACACAACAACATGGAGCAACCTTCAGTGAATTATGCTAAGTGTGAGACGCCGGACTCAAAGGGTACACATGGTATGATTCCCACTGATAGAACATTCTGGAAAAGGCAAAAGTATTGGGACTGACATAAAAGCAGTGGTTGCCAGAGGTAAGGGAAGGGTGTGGAACTGACTACAGAGGGACACAAGAGAGTTTTTGGTGTGATAAAACCATTCCGTACCTAGACTAGACTGGCAGTTATATAACCGTTATTTGTCAGAACTCCCAGAACTGAACACAAAAAGGGTAAATTTTGCCATATTTAAATTGTAACTTTTTTTTCCCCCAGAAAGCTCCAAATGGAAACCATAAAACAAAACAAAACAAAACAAAACAACTTCTATAAAAATGACCACAAAGTTTCTGTGTGCTGGAAGAGCAACCTTTTAAACACATCAGTTAAAAATCAGGTCTCCAATGTCAGACACATACGTACATGTTCTCTTCTCCACCCCCCCACTCTCCAACAGGCCCAGCGAAGGGTGGTTCTCGAAAGAAGCCATCGCACCCCCCCTTCTTACCGGAACCGTGACAGTCAGGATTGAAAGGAGGCGCTAATCATACCCCATAAAGGATCTAGTACCCGAAAGCTATAAAGAGCAGGGAGAGTCCCCTTCCGCGTGCAGTGGGAATGGCACTGCCCCTTGTTGCTATTCTTAGCACAGAGTCTGTCCCACGTCCACCGTCGTCGTCGGCCTGGCTCTCCGTCCTGCAGCACTCGCTCCCTCACAGAGGAAACGGAATTTCGCAGAGGCAATGAAAGTAGGCCAAGGCTACAGAGCACTCTAGTTACGGGGTGGCAGCCAATCACGGGCCCCTCCCCAGGAGTGTCTCACTCTGAGGTCAGGACTCAAAGCAGAGCCTGTGCCGTCAGCCTGAACCCCAAGGGACTGACTTGTTGGGCTTGTTTTTCCACCACATGAACTTGAGGGTTTCTGACTCGAGACCCCAAATCAATCTCGGTCACACCACAGGCTATCTCCCCTTCCACAGCCATGGCCTGGTCTGACCTGACCACCTCCCCGCTTCACGTGCCGAAGGCGCGGGGTGGGGGGGGCAGGGTGGGCAGGCCAACGCTAATGCAGGGCATTGTGAACGAAAGGTCACAACACTCCCACCACTCCCAACTGCTGTGACACCCAACTTCCCCACCCCAAGGAACATCACCCTCTACACTTCCCGCCAAGGATCACGAACTTTAAAAATCCTTTTGCAGTTGTTTCTGTGGGGAGTGGGCTAGGGGTGGGGGTGTACCTTTTGGTTTTCCATCCCCATCCATGGAGCCCAGCTTCTTGGTTTCTGCTGTTAACAACAGCTCGTAAGGATGCTCCTCCTCTTCCCGGGCTGTGCTTCCCTGAATCCAGGGTCTCATGGCCAAGACCTAGGAAAGGAAACACCAAAGACTTTCTCGTGTGGGTGCCTAATGCCAGGACAGGTTATGAAGCACAAATTCAAGATTATTGGCTCTTTTCTTGCCAGAGAGAAGGGGGGGTCGGCAGAGGAGGTAAAGAGCTCAAGCATCACGTGGTACCACAGCTGCCTTTCTGGATACACACCTGTACCTCAGATCTCAGTGGCTTTTGAGTAAAACACTCGCCTTTTCTCACCTCATTTTATCTTTCAAAAAGCCATCAATAAGCTCCCAGATCCTTCCCTTGCCTCTCCCAACATCACAGTGTTCTGCATGGTCTCTTTTCAGTGGATTGTAGCTTCTGAGTGGTTTTTAGCTAGGGTGCCTCACAAAGGTCTTCCTTCTCTGCAATTCTTCCCCAATATGCACACACACTATCCCAAGGCTGGATTACTTCCCACCTTCTCAAGAGGGGATCAGATGACTTCTGAATGACCCCGAATGACTGCCATTTACCAGAAACAAAGGGCTCTATGCACCCTTCTTTATTTGGTAAGCCTTTCTTCACAGGTCCTGGGGGTTATAGGGAAGTTTCTCTCAAAAGCCAGCTTCCTGCTACATTTAAGGTACTATGAGTTTAAATTAATTCCACCAATCTCTGTTCTGAAAGGAGTCAAACGGTCAGGCAGTATGAATTTCACTGGAGAAAACAAAGCAGCTCTGTCTATGGAGAAATCCCTGATCCAGGCAGCCATCTTTGATGGAATAACTGGACCAGAGCTGGCTTCTATACCCACCAACAAGGTCTAGGCAGCTAAGGGCCTTGTGGCCACAGCTAGTCATGGTACGAAGGTGGCCAAGCTGCCTCCTCAAACCAGGCCAGAAACACTTTAAATTAGTGCCATAGTCACACCGAGAGAGAGAATGGAGATCCTCAATTTAGAGGATCGTTCTGGCTCATCCGTCCTAAGAATCCAATGCGTTTCATAGACAAATTAAGAATAATCATGTACCAGCTATTAGGAGAGTGAGCCAAAGCAAAAAATCTCTTCCTGAGCAGTTTGGCTTGGAGAAGTGATACATCATGAACAGAGGGATTCAGAGGAATTCCCAAGTCCACCCAACAAACAATGGTACCCTTACAAATGTGATTCTTTGGTACAAGTAGAAACCTCCTCCTTCAGACATGTTCCACAGCTCACTGGAGATAAAGCAGGTTTGTGATTCATCAGGGTTTTGCTTCTTGGAGACTTAGCTCACTGTGCTATGGCCTAACGAGACAACAAGGATTCTGGCTGGCAGCTCCCGAATAAAGGAGAGGCCATGGCTCCTGTTTGGTAACAAGGCTGCCACTCCAAAGGCAGAATGATGGGCTCTTTCCGAAATTCTGCTAAGCACAGCAGGAACCTCCACTTTACTGAAAGCCACCTGGAAGCTAAAAGCTATTTCATGACAACGAGCCATTTGCCTGTATTACTTATTCCTTTCGCCTCTTCATAGGAAGACAATTAAGGGAACAAAGAGGGACCATTAAGCAGTTCATACAGTGTCAACTTAATACCACAGGCTTTATAGACAGGAATTTGTGTTCTGCAGGTTTACACACCCATAGCTATTACTTAGCCAGAGCCCTGGAAATCCGATTCCGTGAGTGTTCTGCACACAGCAAGGACCCTTGTATAGCCCCAGGCATGCTTCTGAAAGGTATCTGACAGTCTGGATACCCGGCCTATAATACCCTTTCTTTTCAAAGAGGACAGCTGATGACTTCCATCTGGAAAATGGGGCCCACTGGACCTTCGGTCACTCTGTGCTTGGCTCTCAGGCACGACAACGAGAAGCACAGCACCAGCAAATGCTAGAGCTGGAAGGGACCCGAACCGTTCCAATCCCAGCCAGAGAACACCTGGCTCCAGCTCTTTCATTTCGCAGATGCCCAAACTGAGTTCCCAGACAGGTCTGGGGACTTGCCCAAGGTTACACAGAGAGCAACCAGCAGAACCAGGGCCATGAAATTCACTTCCCCTGATTCTGGACCCAAATGTCCTCATTCCCCACCCTGCCACCCGCCCCGGCATATAAGACTTTGCATCCAATTTGGAACTCCTTCCCTCCTTTAGACTCTCTAGTGAGAGTCCCCTGCTCATATCCAGACAACTTCTCGGGTGATCTTTTCCTCTTAGTCCTGGCTCCTGCCAGCTATGGGATTAAAATCTCATAATAAAGCAAGAGACTGCTTTGCTTTGAGTCTTCCTAACTCCCACTCAAGAAGCCCTGTGTCGCAGTAAATATGGCAATAACTGATTTTCAACGGAAAGGATTCTGCTCTTTACCAGATTATTCCTTAATCTTTTCTACCCTTTTCTTCTAGGGCCTGCAATAAATCGGAGCCAAAAAGCCATATTCTCTGTTATGTAGAAAGAAACATTTCTGCTGCAAAGAGAAGCTACTATCAGTCATCACCTAACTGGACCAACAGAATGACCAGTAGGGGTGTGGGCAGTTTTCTGGGAAGAGATACCACGGCAGCTGCGCCTTCCCATGAATGTTTAAAACATCTGAACACAGAGAAGGCCGTGGTCAGTCCGATGCAGCTGACAGCCCATTTGGCGGGGCAAAAACGTCTCAGTAGCTTGTGTGCACACACATGTGTATGTGTTTAATTTCTTTAAGCCCGTTTCATGACCTGGTCGTTAATCTGATAAGCTCCCCTGGAGACAGCTATACTCAGCTTCTCTTAAAGGCTTCCATGGGTCACCTGACAATGACAAGCCTAGGGAATGGGACACAAACATTGAAGCAGATGGCCTGCCAAACATAAAAGTCAACTGTGATGAGCCAGTGCTTCCTAGGATACGAGAGTTAGGGTAGTAAAGCCTACTAAGTAAGAAATCAAAACAGGGAAGACTAGAGTCCGAAGAAAAAGAAATAAAAGTTCACTGCTGGAGAAGACCTAGTCATTTAAACTACAGCAAAGAAAATCTGCTTTGATCATTAAAAGGATAATGACATAGACCACATCTCCTCCGTACTTATTTACTTATAATCACTAAGTAAGCAAAGCTTGGGTTCTCATGGTCTTTCAACTCCTGACTGCAGTGGCCCAACTGACCCAGAATTTCAGACTATTCACAAGCAAGTCCTAGAAGAAGCATCTCAGAGTCTCCACATCCAGGAGAATAATATGGAAATTTCTGCCCTTAGCTCTTGATACTATTGTTTTCTTTTTTAAAGATTTTATTTATTTATTTGAGAGAGAGAGAGCACATGTATGCATGCATGAGGTGGGGGGGCAGGGCAGAGGGAGCAGACTCCCCACTGAAAAGGAAGCCCAGCAATGTGTCCAGATCCCAGGACCAGTGATCATGACCTGAGCTGCAGAAAGACACTTAACTGACTGAGCTACCTGGGTGCCCCTCTGTTGACACTATTATCAACAAATCACATTCTCTGAAAAGCCTAAGAGAATAAAAGTCTTCATTATCTAATATTTCTTTAAGAGCCTTGCATTTATCCTTGGGCATTAGGAACTTTAGTCTAAGTCCTTGTTAAAGACGTAGCATAAGGCATTTGTAGAGACTTAGCCCCAGTTGAACGTGCTCCGTAAGTAATATAAGTAAACGTTTCTCCTTATAAAAATGGAGTAAGGAAGCAAATCTCCATATTAAAAATATGCAGGGATCTGCTACATGCACTTCTAACTGCTAGTAATGTATTATCACCTTAGAGGCTATAATTCTAGAGACTCTTTAGTTGAAACCTGATAATAAGCATTTTGTAATGAAGGCATACAAAGAAATAGGGACAGAATCTGCACCCAGCATAAACATCTTCCCCTATTTCCAACACTGACTTTTACGTTCTTAAAAGGGTGTCCTTGTATTTAATATCCATTTTGTTAAATAAAAGCCTTCCTTCTGGTTCCATGAGTTTCTACTAAGTAAAAGAACCTGTCTCACTGGATGGTCTGTGGCAATATCTGACCTTCTAGGGATAAAGTAATGAGACTTAGATGACTAGTTTATATCAGCTTTTTTTTTTTTTTTAAAGATTTATTTCTTTGACAGAGATCACAAGTAGGCAGAGAGGCAGGCAGAGAGAGAGAGAGAGAGAGAGAGAGAGAGAGAAGCAGGCTCCCTGCTGAGCAGAGAGCCTGATGTGGGGCTCGATCCCAGGACCCTGAGATCATGACCTGAGCTGAAAGCAGAGGCTTTAACCCACTGAGCCACCCAGGCACCCCTCAGCTGATTTTTAAATTAAAGAACAACAGACCACTGAATGAGCAACAAAATAATGAAATTTATATAATATTTTGAATAAATACTGAATAAACATATTCTCTGCACAGTGGTAAGGATTAAAGGAGCATTCTGAAAATGAAAGCTCACAGAAAATATGATTTCTTCATACAACCAAGAAGAAAGATTGAACTATTTGCCCCATGAGAATAATTCTTCTTTAAAAAGGTGGATTAGTGGGGCGCCCGGGTGGCTCAGTGGGTTAAAGCCTCTGGCTTCGGCTCAGGTCAGGGTCTCAGGATCCTGGGATCGAGCCCCACATCGGGCTTTCTGCTCAGCAGGGGGGGCCTGCTTCCTCCTCTCTCTTCCTGCCTCTCTACCTACTTGTGATCTCTCTCTCTCTCTGTCAAATAAATAAATAAAATCTTAAAAACAAAACAAAACAAACAAGAAAAGGTGGATTAGTCTTCTCAAATAACATTCTTTGCTTTCTCCCACCCCCACGACTCCTATTTCTCTTCTAAAATGAGTCTTCATGACATTTTCCATGTTTGTCCTGGTGGATTCTTCATGTGAAATGGAGAAGAAAAATGTGAAAACAGAAATAAGACACTTGGGGCAGAACCACCAAAGTTCGCTAATAGGATATCGTCTACAGAACAGCGATTAAGGCCATACTCCACGTTTTGTATCAAAAGAGGACACAGGAACAAAGCAAGCAAGAAGTCAAACTGTTTAGCTACTAGAGCCAGGAGGAATGTGGACGGTTTACTTTCAATGTGTAATGTGAATCAATAATTGGCCTGTCCGCTGGACAGCTCCATTACAATTCTTTCCTTTGTACTTCTGAATGGGTTGGAAAGGTATTCTTCCAGATTACTGATATGCACAAAATTTACTAATCCAAAAAGGCGATAAGCAAATGAGAAAGAAAAGTCTTCTTTAAGCACACATCAAGGTACTTGCAAAAAATCGTATTTTAGTGATGGCAATAAACCCTCAACCCTCTACCTCAGAAGCTGTCAAGGGAAAATACTTCTTATCTATGCGCTCTTCCTCCTCTTCATCAGGTGGTGGCTTTGCTGGAGGCGGTGGCCGTTCCCTCTGTAGAAGAGAAAAAGTATTTCACTATCTCTTTTTTCAAAAAGTATTTTACTATCTCTTTTTTCGATTACCTAACTTTCTGTTCTTATCTTAGCTCTTGGAAATGAAGAAGAATGTAAAGAACTCCCCTGAGAGACTAAACTCAAGGATCAGTTATCTAAACACATGGTTTAGTATCTGTACCCCCCACCCCCCCACCCCCGACATACACACACACACACACACACACACACACACATACACACAATTCGAACAGCATGCTCTTCACTTTCTGATGTTTGTAGCAGAGAGTATAAACTCAGCTTTCATATTCTAGACCACAGTGAGAAATAGCACTGAAACCATGGCCCTGCCTTATCAGAAAATGTCCAATACCCATAATAAAACTCTAGCCTAGAAAAGCCAGTGGCTCAACTTTCAGACTGGTTAAAAAGAAGCAGCAGTAAATCAAAGCAATCAACTTGTCAGAGTTCAAACAAACCCACGTTATTAAGGAAGTAATGAGGAAAGCAATCAAGGACAAAAAACGTCAATTCCTGCTCAAACTTTAACGTTACCCCCATTTATTCGTCGAAGCTCAGAACTGGTCTCTATCCAGTTCTTGGTCACCTCCTTCAATGACTAGTATTATGCATCGCTCACATACTAAAACCTTTCATCCCTGCCCATTTCAAAAAGGAATATTTGCCGGTTGTCTGCCCTGGAGCAAGAGTTGGTGAACTCTTTCTTAAAGGCCATGGAGTAAATATTTTAGGCTTTTGCAGTTAACCCCGCCACTGCCACAGCAGTACCACAGAGCCAGAGAAGATATGCAAATGAGTGCGGCCGTGTTCCAATAAAACTTTATTCACAAAAATGGGCAGCTGCCTGTGGGCCACATTTTGCCAATCCCTGCCCTAGAGCAAGAAACACCCTGAAGCAGGGATTAGGGAGGTCAAATGTGGCCGACAATTTCAGGAATACACACCACCTCTGGTGACAGAAGGCTGGGGAGAGGCTTGCCATAGTACCTAAGGGACCCGGCAGCGTTGTTTACAGTCCAAAGTCCTAATCCTGCTCCATAATCAATGTTTATACAGGGAAGGGAGTGGGAACCTGACCCAGGAGTTGGCTTGCAAGCTCATTCCCAGCCTCGTAGGTTAGTTCACTGTGTTGCTAGGACAAGAATATTTATGAAAGGGTGGAGGAACATGTCGAATTACGCAAGAGCCTTGGAAAAGTCTGGAAGACAAATCCATGTCCCAGGAGCAGCAGGAGCAGCCAGCGTTAGGTAGCATTCGGTTAGCATTCGGCATCCATGACCTCCCTCTGTTCAAATACACTTCGCCCCTCCAGATTCTATCTTGATAAATCAGTCATTCCTACACTCCCCGGAACCCAATGGATGCCTAATGGCAACAACCTTAAAACAGATTCGTCTTTTCAAGCCAGACAAGGCTATGAGATCACATTTCCCAGTGAGTTCCACTTTCCCTAGCCGGTCTTCCTACAGCAGGGCAGAAACAAGCTTGGTTCCTTCCAAGGGGCACCATGTATGGAAGGGACTAGCAAAGGCAGCAGGCCTGTCATCTACACCAGCTATCCAACTCTGGGACAAAAACAGCCAGGGAAAAACAAAATGAAACACAACAATGACAAAAAGGACCCATCCCAGAAGCCTTCTCAAGACTAAAGGAGCCTAGAAAGAACAAGATGAACACCTCTTGTGCAAGAAGTGATCACCAGAGACACTGGAAAGAAAGAGAAGCAGGAGCCTCTTTTTTCCTGAACGTGAGAACGCTGGCCCAGGGGCCTGCAAGGGCAGAGCTGAGTTAGGCTCACCATCCACAGCATTTGTAAGGTATAGAACAAACAGTCCCCTGGCCAAGGTTCATTACCAAGAGCCAGGCAGGTAGCACAGCCACCACATATTCAAGTAAGAATGGCAAAGCACGCATCCCAAGATGCATCAGTTTTTACTTAGCAAGTCCACCGGAGGACAGATTCTTGGGGTGGGAGAGAACAAAGAGACTATAAATCAGTGGCGAAGCCCACAGGAACTCGGTAATTTAGAGCTTGCTTCAGGAACCATGTGTTCCTCTGGTAAGGCCTCCGGCTCCCTCTAATGGACATCACCTGTAAGTACAACAAAAAAAGATGCCTTCCTCCACAGGCCGGCTTGCTTGCTTCACGGCACCTAAGGCGGAAGCACAGGAAATCACTTCTGTCCACAGAAGCACGGGCTTCCACCACTCACAAGGAGTCTTACAGGTCCTTGAGAATACCTACTCCAGTGGGCTACCACAAGACTGGTGGGCCTTTCCGAAATTCATACAGAAATGCTGGCACTGTTCTAGGACCAGGCAAACAAAAAACAATACTAAGCCTAATAAAAAAGAACACTAAGAAACACCAAGCCATTCCCAGGGCACATCTGAAAAACCCAAGGATCACCCAGTGGCCAAAGGTTCATCTAAATGGTCATAAGGCAGATTCAGACCAAAAGGGATAAGGCTGGCCTCTACTACAGGAAGGAATAATATACACCTGGAAATCTGCCTCAAGCTGGGATCACTGGGACTCAGAGCAGTGGCAGGTTCAATAAAAATGCGGTGCTCAAAACCTCAGATTATTGTACTGGCTATGTAGGAAGGTCAGTCAGGGGAACAGTGATTCAGGGTTGGGCTCAGAGTAAAACCCTAAGGGAGAAAAAGGGAGTAAAACCTCTTGAGAACAATGGACAAGACTGGAGGCAGAAGCAAGCACTAGAGAAAGGAGCAGTCAGATGGGAAGGTGGACCTTGAGAAAGAAATGGCTAGAGAGATTATAACTGGGAAAAACAGGAATGCCACATACTAACACATGCGATATCCGATTAAGTCCTGCTACAACCCTGCTGAATGCAGAATCCGTCCAGATCCAAATGGATACCATTCTGAGGGCAAATGGAAGGTGAGGATGCACTCAGGGGAGACGAGAACTTACTTCAGTGAGCTCTTCCACTGTGGAACTGTTCTCAGGAGAGAAAACTATCAACATACAGCAAAGACCCCAAAGACAGAAGCCGCACAAGGCTAAATGGAAAAAATGCTTCAATTTGCTCTAATACCAAAAACTAACAGAATGACACAGACACGTTATATTGAAATCAGAAAAGCCAAAATTCTACCTCAAGGGGATCTATATAGATTAACCACAAAAAGCAAGAGAGATGTGGGAGAGGCCCAGGAGAACAAGGGGAGTAGGCTGCAGGCCTCTGGAAAGCTAGCAGGCACTTGGCGCATACTCCCTCTCCCGGCGCTCCACCAAAACACAGGCTGACAACACAGCCCCCGTTTGTCTGTCGAGGGCCCTAGGCCACATACAGGCCTCACTCCAGCAGTCTTCACTCCTGCTGCCTCGGCCTCCTTGTTCATGGAGTCTCGGTCAGATGATCGGCCACTGGCCATGCTGTCCAACGAATGGCAGGAGACAGCGTTATACAGTGCCTCGTAGGGACCCTCCTCTTCAGCGTTTGTGTCAAAATCAATGATCAGTTCAGTCACTGCTTTCTCCACATCACCTGAGCAGGTTAGAGAGCAAGAGTCAATGGATGGAGAGCATAATCTCAGATTTCCAACCACTACCCAACCCCCTTCCAACCACCTCAAGCCCCTTGTCAACCTGAGCTTGACAAACCGTAACTGAGAGCAGGAAAATAAAACAACTGCTTTGCTCCATGGATAGGAATAAATACAGAGTTTCAGTTGCTCTTTATACCCTGAGACTCAAAGAGATTTTTCTCTAATTCAATATGGCAAACCCTTGACATCTATGAGGGATACCTCCCTCCCTAGACCTTAAAAATTCCCAAGAACCTCAACACCGCCATAGCATAAACTTAAACCATAAAATGTGGCAAAGTATAAGTGGAAACTTAAGTAATCCTTTCAAATTCTTAGAAGAAACCTCCATGTGCTCAAGCAAAAGAGAGGATGGTGAAGTCTTTCTGACGCGGAGGCGCTGTGCGAGGTTAAACTCACCAGAGAACACGAACATCAGACTACCTGGGACTCAAAAATGGGACGTTGAAAACTTACAGACTGTTGTGGACCAGAGATCTCTGGGTCTCTGGCAAACAGTCAAAACCATTACTGTAAAATCCTTGAAAGCTGAGAGTTTAGTGAACTACTAAGCCCACCACCAATGGATTATGAGGTCAAGAAAAAAAGCAGGGGCGGCAGAGGTGGGGGCAGACAAGGACTCCACAGTGAAGATAGGTCGAGCACCCCTTAACCTTATACGTCTGCACCCCTCTGAAAAATCCCTTTCCCGTTTCAGGACTGGTGCGTTGTGCTATTCCTCTGGCATTCTTTACTATGCTTTGTATTGGAGGGAAGGTTTCTATCAGTATTCTGTCTGTCTCATTCATCATACCTAGGACCCAGAAGGCTGCTCAATAAATCTGAAAGGGTAGATTGTGGCTAATGATGGGGAGGCTGGACTGCCCAAGCTGGTGCCCAGACCACATCTGTTGGCCAAGTGATACAGAACCAAAATCTGCCATCTACACATCTACCAACCAGGTGGTACTCGCTCAGTATTTACTGAGGGCCAGCTATGCCCACAGCAGGGTAGTGTGTGTTAGGAAAACTTTGCTCAAGATCTGAATTTACCTTGAGATCATCCCACCTACAACACATCCCCGAACAGACCTCACAGAGCCAACTATAAAAGTGAGAATAAGATAAAATAGGAAAGAAGAGGTCCGAAGTCAAAGGCCTAAGCTCTGTCCAATAAAGTTCAGATACTAGCTAGGAAACAATAAATGTGAATATGAAGTTATTAAGCACTCCCAATCCCCTGAAGTTATTACTTAAATTAAGCTTTTTCTCTTCTACCAAAGACCATTCATCTCTTCAAGCTGAGAGCTCCTTGACTGGCGCAGAAAGGCCACCTTACCCTGAGACTCCTGGGATACGGAGTCCATACCGGAGAGGAGAGGTCCCTGGGACGTGGGGGTTCTATCGGCCTCTTTTGCACCTCTTTTTCCAGTCATGTGATCTACATGGAAAGACAAAAAAGAGCTGCACCAAATGCAAATGCCTTGGTTCGGCCAGTGTGTCCCCAGGTCGCCCCAACAGGTGATGAACAGGTACCTTCAATAAGCGCCGCTATCTGCTGGCTCTTCTGAGAAGGCAGTTCCCGGACAGTGTCTAGGGCAGTCAGGCCTCGGTTATCTTTTATGTTGACATCAATTCCTAGAAAAGCACACCAGGTGGACCAAGGGGGGAGTGAGCAGTTGCAAGTCAGCCTCAAAGAGGGTCAAATTCCCGGACTCCTAATGCTCCCAGTAGCACGACCAACATTTTTCATCCAAAGCCATTTAATACAGCTCTTTCAGTACATTTTGTACACTTGCGGTCAACCCATGGAGACATACATACATTGGGTTCAAGGGCAGCCAGCAACAATCCCCCTCTGGGGAGTCTAGGGAGAACAAGCCCACCCCGGCATGCCGTGTAAACGAGAGCACGGCCGACCTCTCACCTGCAGCCAGCAGGATTTGCACCACATCAGTCTTGCCAAACAGAGCAGCCTCATGCAAAGCACTGCCCTTCTCCGTCTGGAAGGCAAACGAGAGCGCAGAGCAGCATGTCATCAGAACAGTGACCCAGGTTTGGCGTGGCTCCACACGACAAATGCAATACAGACAACGGGAAGGAGTGTAAAATCAACCGCACAAAGTCCTCTGTCATTATCTTTCCCACTTTTCTGGTCTGGATTCTGGAACCACAATCGTGGCCCGGACGTGAAGTGTGTTTGAAGTGCCACCATCAGGCCACACAGGAATAACTGTATAGCAACCCCGGGAGCCACCTACTGGTGAAGCTCCTCAGGCTCCGGCCCTTCCCGGTAGGGGGAAGAGGTGGGGGGAGGAAAAATCAGAAGAAAAGTAGGAGAGTTGGGGGTGGGTGGGAAACAACCAACATCTTAACTTCACGTGTGGTTTGGTGCTTTGGTCGATGCAAAAGCTAAGGAATAGTCATTCATCAGAATGGACAAAGCTAACTACGCGGGGAAACGCTGTCTCTTGTTGGCAAGATCAAATCGATGGGACTCTGCAGGTGGCAAAGAGCGGCAGTGGGAATGCCCGTATAGGAAGATAATGAAATTTTTCTAATTCTGAGAGAGAGTCCACAAGCACATCTTTTCAGGGAATAATGACTATATATTACCCCTGAAAAGGAAAAAAAAAAACCAACAAATCAGTAACAGACTCACTTGAGGAGTTTGTCTCTGAAGTTTCACATGAAAAAGAGTCAACGGATGGAAGCATCTGAGACGGGATGTGAAACGTGCTAAATAAGAACACAGCCCAGCAGCATGGTCCTTGCGCCTCTCCCACCACGATGCGGCCCCTGGAGCCCGGGGGATGGGGGAAGCGACTGCCCGGCTACCTGGTAGTTGCTGTCCATGCCGGCATCCAGCAGGACCTGCACCACAGCTCTGTGGCCGTTCCGCGCCGCCAAGTGCAAGGGCGTGTGCTTCCTAGTGTTGCAGCCCAGGAGGTTGGGGTGCGCGTTGAGGAGCATCTTCACCACCTCCAGTCTCCCGTACAGAGCAGCCAGGTCCAGGGGCGTCTCGAATTTGTTGTTGCGCATGGTGGGGTCTGTCAGCTCCTCTAAGAGGACCTTCACCACCTCCGTGTGGCCGTACTGCGCGGCGCAGTGCAGGGCTGTCTCGTTGTCGTTGTTCTAAAGGATTGACAAGCAGATCCTGTCAGAAAGGCACCTGGCAGACTGGCCTATGACTGGGACACACACCCGGAAAACCGCTGAAATTTAAACGAGAAAATAGCAGCAATATTTGGGGACTACTAGAAGCCGGTCAGAATGAAGACAACAAATGAGGCCGGCTACTCCGATCAGCCACCGTGTGCCCCAGTTACTGCCAGAACGGGGGCTGTGGTGCCCGTCAGATTTACCATCTCCTGTGTGCCATGAAGGAAGTGTCCGCAGGCTGCAAGGAGAGTGAATGGGGGAACGCGGCGGGCCCCGGGCAGAGGCCCCCACACACATGAATGCTGATGATATCACTGCCATTGACTCATTTTAAATTTCAACTGGTTTTACAATTTATGTTCCATCAACCCTGGAGTTTCTGATTCTGGTTTTGTTGACCATCCACTGCCTTACAGACAAGCTTTTTTTGAAAGAGTTTATTATCTGCACAGCTTCTTGCATGCAAATCAACCAGCCAACAATCAAAGTAAAAGAGCAGAGCACCAAAAGTTACTCTCGGAGATCTCAGCCAACAGCCATTTCCCAAGGAGGGCAGTGCCTGAGCTCAGTCACAGAGGACCCTGGGACCCTGCTGTCACCCTGTGCCTACCCTAGGAGCCTGTACCAATCAACGCATGCGCAAGCTGCCACACAGAGAAGTACTGCCTGTGTCCCAAAGGCTCAATGAGACACAGGAATGTTTTTTGAGAGGTGCAAAATATTCAAAGTTGTAATACAACCATCAGTTAAGATTCACAATCCCGGGGTCCTTGAATGCCAATTGTGTTTCAAACTAAAGACAGAACCTGGAACAAAATAGAAGTTTGTGCTCCATCCACCATCAGAAGCAAAATGCTAATCATTCCAGTTGTGCTTCTTTTTTTCTTTTAAACTACTACTGACAATGTATAATCAGAGCAGGAATAAAGTAATTTCCATGACCTCTCCTTTTTTAGATGCACTAATGAAAATAATTCTCCCACCAGATTTTGAGATTCCTAAATTGATCCAGGAGGCTTCTGCCACTTTAGGGGAACCAAGCTGATGAGGTGGTGTGTCCATCAGGTCAATATTGTGCACCTCCCAGTGACCAAAAGGTAAGAAGTGAAATGTTTCCACAATTGCTTTAATTCTATTAATTACGTTAAAAGTAACAGACCAGGAGTTACCCAAACATGCATGCAATTCCATCTGCTTTTGATCTGGCATTTGACTGCATCATTTTTTCCAGCTACACCAAGTGCACCACAAAGATCTAGAGCTGCTGGGAGTGAGGGCCCCAAAGGCCAGAGTAATAGCAAAAAAAATTTTTTTGATGAAATAAGGACAGAAAGGGTGGTAGAAGGAGCCACATGCAAAGATAAATGCACACAGATAAACAGAGGAAGCAGCACTGAGCTCAAACACAGCCCAAGGAGATCAGCAGCTGAAGTGCAGACAGCCTTCGCTGGCCACGGGACAGAGCCCGTTAGCAATGGCCTCCTGCGATACAACTGGGCCCAAGGAGTGCATTCCATGTCAACCTAAAAGGTTGGAGGGAAGGGGAAACTCTGGCAGAAAGCAAATCTTTGGGGTTCCCTGTGCCAAACCAACCACTTAAGATACCCATTTGGAATGCCCATTCCCAAATAAGCCAACTCAAAGCTGTCGCTTCATGTTTTTGCCATGAGAGGCAGCTTCATCAATAAAACACACAGGGGCTTGCTTTACAGTGGTTCGAGGGCAGAGTGGCAACCCAAAGAAATTTTTAAGAGGATTCTCAGGGTTTTACATCTCAATTAGCAGGGCAGAGAAAGTCAGCTTATTCTCATTAAAAGCCCAGTCCAGAAAAACTTGTTCACTCTGAGGCAGACACTGCTGTCTCTTTTCTATCCAAGCTGTCTCCCAACAACCAGAATAATCTGTCCTTGATTTTGTAAAAAGTATGCCATTAAGGTCTGAAGAACTGTAAAACTCTAAGCTAGCCAGTAGGAGGGAAAAAAAAGAAAAATCTTGGTTTGTTGTTGTTGTTTGCTAGAACTAAGGCAGCTACCACAAAGCTGCCTTACTGAAAGCAAGGTCTTGATCACTACCAGGTAAATTTCTGCCTCTGTTAAAAACAGCCTAACCACGCCTCTGCAGAATGTTATATTCAAATTAACAGTGTAGAAAGTATCTTTCTTATGGTTCAGTCTTGCCAGACATAGTCTGATAATTATAATATTCGTAAGTTGAAGTCTGCGGTGACCCCATCTCTCGACTATTGAACACAGGCCATCACAATGAGCTCTTCCTACCAGCTCCCCTTTGGACATGACAACTACCAGGGCAGGAAGTCATTAGTGTTAATTCAGGGACCCACAAGAAAGGGAGGGATTCCAAGGAGAGTACCGACTCCTCAGGACCCAGAATCCTTCTCTTTCACATCTTCCAAATCCTACTACAGGTGCTCCTCACACCTCAAGAGTTCCCAGAATCATATTGCTATGTATTTGGACTGAGGATGAAGACTTCCTCCAAAGTCTTTGCACACTCCCCATTCCTGCCTGTCTTGAGACTCACTTCCATTTCTCCTTGCTACAATCAGTACCTCTAAGAAAAAAGACCCCAATACTCTTTAAGTATGGAGACCCCATTTAATATGTAAATCCATTCAATTTACATATTATGTAATATTACATATTATGTAATATTATCTACATGTTTATGCCTATCTACCTATCTCACATACACATAAACTACAAGCAACAGAAAACTATACAGAAACATTCTGGTGGCTCTTCTCTTGAAACTATTCTAAGCCAACACTTCCCAGTGCGTAGACTGCAGCCCAATTGTACTCTTGACCACTGTTGATAGACACCAAAGTTGGAAACAACTGAGCTACAGCTGTCTGTAGCAACAATGGTGTAGGCTTCAGAAACCTACCAAAATTGGAACATAAAGGACAGACTGGACCTCCTGAGATTTAGCAGACATGGCAGAAACATGAGAATTGGGTCCATGTAGAAGAAGAGGTAGACTGACTCTGTAAATGCTCTGGAAGGCAGAAACCTGATCAAAAGATGGAAAATTTAGGAAGACAGGTATCAGCCAAGCGTAAGAAACCAAAAATCAGTGGAATCCAAAAAGAGGAAGCCTGGTTGTTACCAAGAGAAACAAACAACCAAATAAAGCAAAGGGCAGACAGCTCACCTTTCATGTGAGAGAAAAGGATTCCTGCTCTGGATGCAAAGTTGGCCTAGATCAGTGGTTCTCAAACTGGCTTCGTTTTGGAATTATAAGGGAGCTTAAAAGTAACTGAGTCCCACCCCAGACCTGCCAAGGTAGCACCTCAGAAGTAAAGCCCAGGAAGACTATTATTAAAAAGTTTAACAACCTAGCCTGCACCACCTTGACCAAGCATTCATCTAACAGTGAGACAAACTGACATCACGTGCCTCATAACGTGAAGGAACGAAATATAACATCACTCCTGCAGCGTTCCTGCTAAAATTGTAGGGCCTGAATCGATCAGATTCAGGAAATAACAGGAATATGTGGAAATATCAGACAAACTTAAACTGAGTGATAGTCTACAAAATGACTGGTCTGTATTCTTCAATACCATCAATGCTGCAGGTCTCTGTGGCAATCGCTTACTGGATTCAGCTGTTCGCTGAATGGTTGGTTGGTGGTTCGGTCCCACCCAGGGATGTCACGTTTGTGGTTCCTAGTCATAAAAGACTAAGGGCTGAAGAAGTGTTCCAAATTATGTATGATACTGGACTGGACCAGGAAGAAAAATTGCTCTAAGGAATATTATTGGAGAAATGAGTAAAATCTGAACACAGATTCTGTATTAGATTCCAGTATTGTATCAATGTTGAATTTCTTAAATTTGATAACTGTACTATGGTTGTACAAGTGAATGCCCTTGTTTTTAGGAGATACATGCCAAAGTATTTGGGGTCAAAGGGTCATGATCTCCATGACTACGTATCAAACAGTTCATCATCAATTAAGCAACAATATATCTATACATTTGAGAGAGAGAAAATGTGCATGCAAATGAGACAAAATGTTAACAACTGGTCAATCTAGATGAAGAGTGCAATGCAGTTCACTGCATTATGCTTGCAACTTTTTATACGCTAAAAATTGTGTCAAGATAAAGTTTTACAAAAGCTTGCTGGGTGATTCAGATGCAACCAGTCAAGCTGATCAGAATGTGGAGACAACTGGTTGAGACAACTTCCGGCCTCTTCCAGCTCTGAAACTTAATTATTTTTAAGTGGACAGGGAAAGAGATATACCCTAAAACTAATTTGACCATTGCTTACCTTACAATATTCAGACTAATTTAAAATTATTTTAAAAGGGAGCAAATAAACGATTTTAATAGTTCCACCATAGCTACAGATAACCTACATTTGAGACTGGTGTATGCTGACTTGTTGAAAAAGGCTCCATATGTCGAAGAGGAAGATGAAAACCATCCCTGCTCCCAGAACAGGCACCGGAGACTTTTTTTTTTTTTTTTTTTGACAGAGATCACAAGTAGGTGGAGAGGGAGGCAGGGAGAGAGAGGGGCAAGTAGGCTGCCCACTGAGCAGAGAGCCCGACTCCGGGCTCGATCCCAGGACCCTGGGATCATGACCTGAGCCCAAGGCACAGGCTTTAACCCACTGTGCCACCCAGGCGCCCCGCACCTGAGACTTCTTAATTTCTACAGGTGCCTGACAGGACTCAGCACACAAAACAATTCCCAGACACAATCCAGGTCAATAAAAACCCACTGAATCAGGATAAAACCCAGCGAGGTTTGATTCAAACCAGCTCAAAGAGAGTTTGCATTCATAGCAAAATCCAAACAGCTTTAGCCCTTAGTGCAATTTGCATCATTTAGCCTTTCGTGAGGTGGTGGGGCCGGGGTGGGGGGGAGGCTAAGGGCAGTGTTTCCAAAAAGAGAAATATGTTCTTATGCCATTTAGACCAATTTTCTTTTTTGTGTGGGAAATCAAGGGATAAGAAAATGTGCTTTAAAGAACCAAAGACTTACCCTTTAATCAGAGCTTTATAAGCTAACTAAACTAACCACCAAGTGCGAAAACAATCACTTCAAGGCGCCTCCCCACAAAACAAAACCCTGACCAGACTAATTGAGCAATGTTTCATTAAGCTTCAATCCATCATTAACAAAGAACAAATTCCAAAGTACCGCTTCAGAAAGAGCAGACTGTATATACCCTTCAGAAGTCAGATCTCAAATACTACTAGTTATCAGATAGTTGTACTTAATGTGCATTCACTTACTTAAACTCCAAATGGTATACTGCACTTTACAGAAGAGGAAACCGAGGCTCACAGAACTTAAGTAACTTATTTAAGTCAACAAAACCAGTCAGTGGCAGCACAGAATTCAAACTCAGGCTTGACTTAAAAGGCTGTGACCTTTAGTAAGAGTTTTCTCCACTACTACAACAAGTTCAAAAAAAAGAAAGAAAGAAAGAAAGAAAGAAAGAAAGAAAGAAAGAAAGAAAGAAAGAAAATGAAGACACGGTATCTTCCTCTTTTGAAAATTAGAAAACAGAATTTACAGAGAGAGGGCCAAGCAAAAGCTAATGCATTCCACTACCCCAAATCAAACTGCTTCTCCGACATCAAGTCCCAACAGCTGAAGAGCACGGCCCACGTGGAGCTTCACTCACTAAATCAGCATTTCTCAAAGAATATCTGCCTTGCATTTGGAGACATGTTGAAGTACCTTACGTTTCCCTTCCCTGAGGCTACTGTGTTCCGAGCAAAGGAAAGGTAGCTAATGTGACTAACTGCACTGACTCAACCAAACTCCAGACTGGTGCCAAAAGGCAAACCTCACCCGAGTGGAAACTCAGGTCAAAACCAGCAGGTGAGAGCACCAAGGAGAAAGGCTAACCAGCACCCACAGCTCTGCCTCCTGGTGTGGTGAAGGCCGGGAGAGGGGGGGGGGACTCTGCGCCATTCATCACCAGGCCTAACCTGCCCCCGCCTCACAGGGAGGGAGTCTCGAGGCCAGTGTCCTGCTTGACCCTGTGACTTCATTTCCTATTTCAGACCCCCTCCCAGGGGCAAGAGTGACCAAGCAGTGAGAGAGGCTGAGAGCTGGGGAGAAGCAACTGAGGCTTTAAAGTCCCAGGCAGAAATGCACAAACTCAAGGAAATGAGGAATGAGCCCAAAGGGACAGCTTTTAAGAGTAAAATGGAGTCATCATACCCCTTCCCCACCACCTCCACTACAAGCTTATTGAAAATGAGATTCCACTTCAAAAGAAATATAGAAAGCAGTGTAAAAAAGATCTTTAAATCCAGTTAATGTAATTTAATCATTTTCTGTGCTGATTAAAAAGTAAGCTAATATGTTTGACATCTCTTAATTGAATTTTTTTTTTCAAATTTAAATGATTTTTAGCAATCACAATGGTAAATTATGCATATAATACGGTTCCTTCTCTTTCCCCATTTCGGCCATTTCTAAGCTTTTCAGACATTCCGGGAAAAGCACCCAACCTTTCCAGAATTAGCATGGGTTTTAAAAATAAAACCCAAACTCACTGAAGCTGCAATTTCCCATTCCCAGACAAGCCAAAAGCAGATGGGCTGAAGCAGACAATAGTCAGGGTGAAGATGAGGAGCCTGAGTGGATGAGAGTGGAAGCCAGAGAGGACCAAAGAGGGAGTGCAGCTTGGAGAAATGATGCCGAGAAATCCTGGCAGCAACGTACACACCTTGGCATTGATATAAGGGTCAAAGGGGCCGTACTTTTTGAATTCTTTGACCTCAAGAGCATTCTATAAAAAGGAGAGGAAAAGAAAATGTGATGATAAAATGGGTAAAAAAATATCAAAGCAATGCCCAGCCCCGAGGGGGTCCAACATGAGAACAACGTGGATCTGCCCTCTGGGAGCCTGGAAAGGAAGTTAATGGGGAGGCAGGCTCGAGGGCACAGCACTCATCACCCCCTCTTATCCAACCATCCAACTAGAACCACATTAACGGTTTTTAAATAGATCCATGTGGTACTACTACCTAGAGCCGTTAGGTTCTTCCAGCTCCTGCAGAAGTCTTGCCCAGCCCCTGTCCCACCCAGCTGCCTGCCAGATACTCAGAACACTGGGCTGGTGTCCCTATCAAGGGATACTCCAGGCAGGAGGTGGCGGTGAGCAGGACAAGCTAGCACACTCAGGTGGCCCAAAAATCCAAGCAGCTGTGTTTCAAGGCAAAAGTGAGCAAAGACAGGATTAGAAATGGTCACCGAAAATTTCTTAAATGAGAAGGACTTTAATGGGGGACTAGTTGGTTCAACACGGAGGAATAGGAGTTAAAAGCAAACTTCCTGATAAATTTCCTCCAGTTAAGAGAAATTACAATCACTTTAGCCAGGAGGAGTAAAATTGCATTTAGATTCTAAAGCAGCAATTCTAGAGACGATTTTCATTCTTAATGTTATGACACAAACATTCTCATAGACGATCTTAAATTTCTGTGGCTTACCTATCCAGAAAATACAGCTTGAGAAGTGAAAGGGAAGCTGATTACCAGCTATACACACGCAATCTCCAGTTTGAGAGACTTGGGAGCATTGTTTTAATTTTCTCCAACCTCAGGGTGAAGCTGCCCTTCTCTGAGTCAGTCTTGGTCCTAACTGCTCACTGAGAGTGTGCAGAGCCCTGCTGATAGATGGGCTCACGAGAATGATTTCCTATTTTTGGAGAAATAACCCTGACCTAATCTACAAGTAATTTAACACTTTCCTCTCAGTAAAGTCATTAGGAAAATAGTCCTGGGCTTACTGAGAAAGAGCAGCATCTCTCTCATTCAAGCAACTAAGAAAAGCACCTGCTTCAGTTCAGAACAGAGAGGAAAACAGAGTGGCCTGTCACACTGGGAAAACCCGTCTCCTCTCAAATGGATACATGATCTCAGACTCAAACTACAGGAAACTGCATTTTATGAGAGGGCTGTCTAGAACCTGCATAATGCAAGCATAACTTTTCCAAAGGAATCAAGGTGAAAAAAGTGGAGGTACGGTATCAGAGAACATAAATCCATGGCCATTTGAAGGTATTTTTGGTCAACTGCTGCCTTTTTTTATTTTCTAAGAATTATCTCTGCTTTATCAAAACAGGGTCACTCTTAAGTTGACCTTAGGGGAGAGCATATAAATGATTTTCATTCTGCTCCATCACCTCTAGCCTCTGAGCTTACTCAGATGTTTTTATGAGCTCCTTTCTCAGTCCCGGGACAAGTCCTTCCACTTCTGCCAGCTGCGAAGGAGGGAAAACAGCAGCAGGGTTGACACAGCACTGATGCGCGCCACACCGGGAGGACCACCGCTTATCGGCTAAGGCCTCAACGCCATGCCGGTGGCATAAGCACTGCTTGTAATTAATTAAGCCTGCCGCTATGAAATGGCCTCTAAACAATTTTACGGGATTTGTGTTATTTCCCATTTTGCACACGAGGTATGTAGATCTTTATGATAGCACTACTCCAAATCTGCACGATTCAGATGCATGTAAAATGCTTCCTTGGGGTATGAGATCTCCCTGATGCCCTCGGAGGAGTAGTGCTCGGAGGAGGGGAACCATTTGTAGGGCCTGGAAAAGCTGGTTCCCTGCGATCTGCGCTGTGGAACTGAAACAGCGCCGGGGCCACCACGGTCTGGCTATAGCTGAAGGGAAGAACGCTTCTCTTCCTTCCGACCTGTTCGTTGACTCTGGTGTGTGAGGGCCCTTGATGGATGAGCAACCGCACTATCTGGGCATCTCCTTTCCAGGCTGCCAAGTGCAGAGGGTAACAGCCTTTGGAATCAGCCACATTGGTCAATGCATCGTTCCTCAGAAGAACCTCAACCACATCCCTAGAAGGCAAAAATCAATCATGAGTTTGCAGAACTCAGAAGGCTTTCCTACTTACAGCTCTTCACATCTGGGCAGCTGAAGCCCTTTCAGATATTATCTCACTCAGCCCCCCTCTCTCTACCTGAGCTCATTGCCCAGTCTCTTCCTTTTATTCCATGAGCTACGTGTACAGCTGCTGATAGGCGGCTGAAACATCTTGAGCCAAATGACACTGACTCATCACCTTGCCATTCTCTGGGCTTTCTAGATAATCCATCTCTATTCCATTATTTTGAAAATGTCTGGTTCCCTTGTCTAAACCTTACAATGTTGCCTTATTTGTGATGTTTAAACAGCATTTGGGGATAAAATTTACATGAAAGTAGTCATGCGAGACAAATATCGTTATTCACCACATTATTCAGAGCATTTAGTGATGTGGGAGCTAAAAGCAGACAGGCAGAGCGGAATTAAAGTTGCTGCAAACATAAGCCAGACACATATGGTATCATTTGATACATCCAGAAAGAAGGGCTTGGCTTTCTCCTTGGTGACACTACTAATTAAGCAGATACAAATGTATAATTATCCCCATGCACATGAGGTCAGAGAAAATCCCCACTGTAAATAAAAACAGCATCTGGAGATAAACTTGGCTAACAAGCTAAAGTCATTTAAGTATAAGATTTACTTTAATTCAGGTCACCCCCCCCCCGTTATGGGGGGAGGGGTCTCCACAGAGTCCTTGTTAGCTTTGTCTAAGATGGCCATAAAAAAGACACAAGGATCATATTCAATATATTTCAGAGAAGTTTAATGTAGAAGGAAACAACCACCACCTCTTTCAGGCACATCAGAGTCCATCAGGCTGGGCTAAGCACTGTACAGGTGATACAGAATACCACCGGGGGTGTGGAAGGCCCTGCTCCTTGCTCAGCAAAATCCAAAATGGTTCCGATAATCCCACCTTCTGAAAACTAAACTTCTACTCTTATCTCCTAGAGCATGATGCCTCAAGCTCCCCTTACCACGCTCTGTGCTGCTACACTCTGGGTTCCATTCTTCCACATCCTGGCAAATCCACTCACTGTACTCCCTGGCTCTGCCTGCCCCTGGGCTGGGCCATCACTTTCTCTCTCACATGGAGGGTAGTGCCCCCTGGAAAAGGCTGCCAAACCATTTAAACCTATGTCATCTTCTCTCCTACTCCCCCCAAAGCACAGCTTCTCCAGAAAACTTTCCATGCAAATCCCACCCAGCAACTACTAACCAATACCTAAAGAGAATTAAATAGGCTGTACAGGGGTGCCTGGGTGGCTCAGATGGTTAAACATCTGCCTTCGGCTCAGGTCATGATCCCAAGGTCCTGGGATTGAGCCCCGCATTAGGCTCCCTGCTTGGGTGGAAGCCTGCTTCCCCTCTCCCACACCCCTGCTTGTGTTCCTGAGCTCGCTACCTCTCTTTCTCTGTCAAAGAAAGAAATAAAATCTTTAAAAAAAAAAAAATAGGCCATATGATGATGTATTTTTCCCCTGAAAAAAGGTTCTTGTTGTCTACCAGGCTAATTGTATGGGGAAGAGTGGCAAGCCAAAAGAGTAAATAAATAAGTACTTTAAGAGAAGGGAAGTTTCTTATGACCACTCAGTCTATCTTCAGGTTACAAAGGTGCTGGTTACCTAAGAGATTATCCAGCCCCTTTATATCTGGCTGCCCCAAACGTGACCTTCACAAGCAGATCACTGCATGGCATTGTGCCGTTTCAAAGAAGAAAAGGACAAACAGAAGAAAAGATAAAACTTAACCTTTGGTTGAAGATTTATAGGCGGAGGAGGGAAGGGTGCTTAAATTATACCCTAACGAGAGACTTGGGAACTTTGGATGGACTAAATTTCCTTTGTTCTTCCCTGTTCCTCAACATTACTGCTTAGTAATTCTTTATGGAAATCAAAAAAGACGATCCAAAGGCCTGGGTTCTGGAGGGTAGGGCGGGAATACAGCACATGGATACTTACTTATGGCCATTCAAAGCAGCATGGTGCAGCGGTGTATACCCCGTGCTGTCAACACAGTTCACATTGGGCCCTCTCCAGATGCTATGGGGGGAAAGAAAAAAGAAGACTGAAGTCTCAAACCAAATTCAGAGCCAGCTAACTGCTTAGAAAAGAGTTCTCAGGGGTGATGAACCAAACTAGTTATATCCACATGACTCCTGAGAAAGGACAGCAGCTCTTTACTATGGAAATGCATAACCCCCACGATAGGCAGGCATCAGGGGGTCCCCTGCTCAGCAGGGGGTCAGGTGTCCAGATAACAGTGTAAGCATTTAAAAGCTTGCTCTTCTGTACCCTTGTCGTCTTTTTCTTTTTTTAAATTTTTAAAAATTGAATCCATTTTCTCTTTAGGCATATGTTTGAATTCTGCTCTACAATAAGCCAGTGAAGTATTACACTTTCTTTCATGTTTTTTTTTTTAAGTAAGCTCTACCCCCAATGTGGGGTTCGAACCCACACCCCAAGAGCAAGGGTTGCATGCTGACTAAGCCAGCCAGGCACCCCATGTACCCTTCTTATTTTTAACTACATTATTCACTCAATATGGGACACGTACCTCTAAACACTCCCAGGACTGTTGCAACACTTCACTGAAAGGTCATCAAAAATATCACTGAACCAACCATTCAGCAAGTCACAGGTACTGAACACCCACCTCTGGTGGTGGTCTGGTGACTGAAGACTTAAGAGAGACTTCAACACAGACCTACAGATAATCTGGATGATTTAACCAGCAAGAACCAAGACGAAAGAACCCACATTAATAAAAGCACCAGGACACATGTGTTAAGATGTAAGAGACAACGAGGCTTTCCTTTCTGAATGTCTTACTGCTTAAAAAAAAAAAAAAAAAGGAAGGAGAAAGAAAGAAGGAAAGAAATAAAATAACAAGATCTAGAACTTGAGTGCTTTATTTGAATCAGAAATACTGTACTAGGAAGTGGAAGTGTCATCTAACTTAATCCTCAAAGCCTAATTCTTACTTCTGTTTCACACCTTACTACACTGGCCAGAGCTGCTGCTGCTGTGTTTTGTTTTGTTTTTTGAGAGAGAGAGAATCTTAAGCAGACTCCACACTCAGCACATAGCCCAATGCCGGGCTGGATCTCATGACCCTGAGATCATGACCTGAGCTGAACTCAAGAGCTAGACCCTCAGCTGACTGAGCCACCCAGGCACCCCTTGGCCAGAGCTTCTAAAACAATATTAAGTAGTAGAGGGCAATGTTGTTTTGTTCTTGCTTTTAATGAGAATGCCTCTACTGTTGGCAGTTGGTGTGAGGTAAGCACTCTGTAACACGTAAAGGAAGTGTCTTATTTTTTTTCCTTAAAAAAAATATTAAAAATAGTTGTACAGGGAAGCCTGGGTAGCTCAGTTGGTAGGCTCACGTCATGATCTTAGGGTCCTGGAATCGAGCCCCGCATCAGGCTCCTTGCTCAGATGCAAGCCTCCTTCTCTCTCTGCCTGCTGCTTTGCTTGTGCTCTCTCTGACAAATAAATAAATAAAATCTTTAAAAAAAAAAAAATAGCTGTTGTGACAGCTGGGTGGCTCAGTTGGTTGGGTAACCGCCTTCGGCTCAGGTCATGATCCCGGAGTCCCCGGATCGAGTCCTGCATTGGGCTCCCAGCTCCATGCGGAGTCAGCTTCTCCCTCTGACCTTCTCCTCACTCATGCTCTCTCTCACTATCTCTCTCTCAAATAAATAAATAAAATCTTAAAAAAAAAAAAAATAGCTGTTTAAGGGCGCCTGGCTGTTTCAGTCAATGGAGCATGTGACTCTTGATCTCAGGGTTGTGAGAGTGAGCCCCACACTGGGTGCAGCGATTACTTAAAAATAAAATCTAAAACAAAAACAACCACACACTACTCTACACCAACCAGACTGACAAAAATGAGAATAAGAAGTATTTATAAAGACGAGGAAAACAAGCACTCTTATATACCACTGGCATGGGTTTGAACTGGTGAATTCCTTTGGGAAGACAATTTGGCAGCATCCACCAAACCAAAAATAGGCATTCACTTTGAGCCAGCATTTCCACTTCCTGGCAACTATTCAGCAGAGACACTCGTACACATGCACAAAGATACACGCTTGTATAGGACTGCTTCACTGTGAGAGCAAAAACTAAACACTTCATGTCCATCAACAGGCGGGCACTTAAATACCAGGTATGCCCATACAATGAATTGCTACATAACCATTAACAACAACCACAAAAAAGGGAAGAAAACAAGTTGGACCTATGTGTCCTGACGTACAAAGATTTCCCCCAAGACATACTGTGTTAAGGATAAGTGAAAAGAAGTGGTCATTGTGTTAGGACACCTGGGTGGCTCAGTGGGTTAAAGCCTCTGCCTTTGGCTCAGGTCATGATTCCAGGGTCCTGTGACCAAGCCCCGCATTGGGCTCTCTGCTCAGCAGGGAGCCTGCTTCCTCCTCTCTCTCTGCCTGCTTCTTTGCCAACTTGTGATCTCTGTCAAATAAATAAATCTTTAAAAAAAAAAAGAAGAAGTGGTCATTGTGTAGCACACAAAACAGGAGCCCTTGCTTTAGAAGTGTGTACATACACGCCCATATGGTGGACGGTGACGGGCAGAGAGCTTGCCGATGTTGCCAGTGGTCACCTCTGGGAAAGCAATGTGTGTTGGGGGACACTAGAGATGGTGAGGAGGGACTCCCATGTTCCGCTCAGTATTCCACCACACTGTTTAAAACACAATGAGGATGCATTCATGTATTTTTATAGTAATTTTTTAAAAGAAAGAGGGGAAGGGAGCGTCTGGGTGGCTCAGTGGGTTAAAGCATCTGCCTTCGGCTCAGGTCACAAACTCAGGGTCCTGGGATCAGCCCTGCATTGGGTCTGCTCAGCAGGGAGCCTGCTTCCCTTCCCCTCTTTCTGCCTGCCTCTCTGCCTGCTTGTGCTCTCTGTCAAATAAATAAATAAATAAAATCTTAAAAAAAGAAAGAAAGAAAGAAAGAAAGAAAGGAAGGAAGGAAGGAAGGAAGGAACCTGTGCACAGGGAAAAGAAAACCAAGAAAAACTTCAAACTGTTACTGCTAAATGGTTGTATATATGTGACCTGGGCCACTTTAATGAGCGGTCTACATTCAGTTTAAAATCTGAAGATAAATTTTAAGTGAAAGGAGAAGATACGCATGTTCTGGTATCCAGACTATTCATTCATTGTCAATTAAGCAGGCAGGTGACAGAGTCAGAAGCCTTAGGTATATCCTGATATACCCACCCTCCACTGAGCTGGGATTCCTACAGCACCCTCCAAACAAAGGGTTAAAAGCAATTATGTCTGTCACATGTGTACAATAACCTCATTTTCTAGATCAAAAACTGTATGCCTGTAATCTGGCAACGATGAGAAGGACAGAAAGTGAAACGGGTCTGGAAAAACTAGGAGGTAGTTTTCACACTCATTTTCAAACTGACCCACCAGACGAAACATCGTCATTCTATCAAAAAAGAGGTGACACTAAGAATCAAAAAACAAATTCTTGGCCCCAAAGCAGTGGCAGATCCCAAACTCCCGTTTATAGAGCTCTTGGCATTTGGCTGAACAAGGACTTTACGATCTAACTGGGATGACAAGGGAAGGTAAAGATGCAGTGGTACAGCGCTGGAATAACAATCCAACAGCAAGATGACGAGAAGACGCCAACAGGAGCTGGGAAAAAGAAAGTACCAGGACTGGGTCAGGCAGTCAGGAGCACAGGTCTGTCAGCCCTGAGGACTCCATTAGGAATCTGCTAGCTCCTTAGTGATCTCAAGCCAGGTCCCAAAGTAACCTGAAAACTAAGACTTAAACCGCCCTCACTTTAAAAAAAAAAAAAAGGCAAGACTGAGCAAGCCTTGTTTCACTCTCTAACTTTTACCTCTACTTAGATATCCTTTACTAGCACTAAAACTCCCTCAAAACAATTTGAAAAGACGAGGAAGAAAGACAAGGCCTTCCGTGCATAAAGTTGCAACATGTCTAACCAGTAAGGTCGACCCCCCATCCCCTGCTTTTTCTCTAACTAGCATTTCCTCTGAACGCCCATCTAGAAATTTGGGGGAATGGGGAATATATTAAATAACACCTAAATGAAAACAGAGAACTGAATCTCCCTGCTTAGAATTTTTGCTTCACACAGGATGGTAGTCATATCCCCCTCCACCCAAGTTTCTTCCTTTTTGGCAGCCCAAGAAAAGAGCTTTTGACAATCGGGGTCTTCCTCTCCATCACAGCTGTCCTAATAGGTTTTTCTAAGACAGTAAATGCCCAAGGGCTGCTCACCAACAAACAAAAGCAAAACACAAAGCGCCAAGAAAACCAGAGGGAAGATTCTTCAACCAAGTCTAACCTACAGATATTGTACAGACATGTGACTGCTGCCCTTGATTCGTAGAACAAACCCTCACCCCACCCTTGACAGGTCTCATAGGGGTTCCAGCGAACCCACGGGAAGCAACTACAGGACCTAGGTTAAGAGCTGAGGCGCTCATTAGCTGCCTCCGCCACTTGTCAGTTGTAGGACAAGTGACTTAGTCCTTCAAATCTTCCTCTGCATCTGCAAATCCTACTGTGATAGGCTCCCCAGCACTTCAGTGGCTCAAGGAGATAAAGCATTAGGGTTGGGAAGCCTAAGACGTGTCACAGCAACCCAACCACATGGACATGATGCTGAGCACAGCCGTCTGGGACTCAGAAGCACCTACGTTTGGAGAAGGCATCTAAAGACACCGGAGGGCAAGGAGGAACAGGGCTGATGAGAACCTGTGGCTGTTGAGTCCCACCTCAAGCGCCTCTCTCCGTCCATTTACAAACTGACTACACCCTGATCCACAGCAGGTGGCAGTCTGGATCTGGAGGCAGTGATGAAGATCAGGCCAACCATACAGACACAGCCCACTCTGTACAGTGGGACAGGTGCTGAGCGAGGGCCTGCTTGGAGGGCTGCCTGTGTATGTAGTCAATAGATAGGTCAAGGGTGCCCTCTATGTGTCAGGCACTGTTCCAGGGCCTGGGAATGCAAATGGGAAAA